TTTATTCTTTGTCATGTTTATAATTTTCTCAGAATTAGTTTGGTTGGGCTGCCTGTAGTTGTGATTAACATAAAGTGTAAGTGTTGAAGCATATTCACCGTACAATTCATTTACAGGATAACTCCAGGGTCGGYGATGCATTCATGAATCAAATCGAGACAATGGCGGCATATGTGCCATATATGGTWTCWCCTGGRAATCACGAACAYCATTGGTAAGAYTTGAAAARWAGTCAATATGCTCTCCATGCAATTCATACAATATATATGTTCTTTTCCAGTAATTTCTCCAACTACCGTAGGCGTTTTAGTATGCCAGGCAACAATTCTGGTATCTTCTACAGGTAACTGACAATCTAACAAATTTTAAACGATTTTTGCTTTCGTTTATTTCAATATKTCCACATTTTTCAATCCATAGCTGGAATATCGGCCCTGTGCATATAATTAGCTTCAGTACAGAGGTCTATTACTTTCTGAAATATGGATTACAACAAATTATCAACCAATATGAATGGCTTAAGAAAGACTTGGAAGTGGGTACCCTGTGTGCTTTTTCCTTCATTACAATTTCCGCTCTATTTATAAGTTATGTTTACGTTCTGAAGGAAGCTAATTTRCCCGAAAATCGCGCCAAACGACCGTGGATCATCACAATGGGSCATCGACCAATGTACTGTTCCAACGTTGTTGGTGATGACTGCCAGAATTTCGAAAATAAGGTCAGTAATATTGGTTAACTCGTGGATTGTGGTCTTCTAGTTGCGTCCACTGATTCCATGAATGTCCTCTTCTTTGTCACAAGGTACGGATTGGTATCACATCACTGAAGCTCTTTCCATTGGAAAAACTTTTCTACGAAAATGGTATGTTGCTGTACTGAGCATGATGGTCACCGTTTAGGCATAGTAGGTCCTTGAAACTTAAGACCTCCTTTGCTTACTTGGTCACCCTTAAATGTACAACCCACTTTATTTTAGTAACAACAGTAAGCGGTTTCAATTATCGATGAGACAGGGTTCGAGACTGATTTGCTGTCACTTTGCACKTTCGTTTTGCAGGTGTTGACCTCGAAATTTGGGCTCACGAGCATTCCTACGAAAGATTATTTCCAGTCTATAACCATACGGTAAGGGCACCTTGGTCCACATGACCCTGAAGCCAAAGTTTATCAAAGACAATGTGCAGCGACAGAGTTTTTTATGCAAAGCATGACGGTATACCCTGCACCTTTTTATGTCTGTTTGAATAATCCAAAAAATCTGCCTCTCCTTTCCTTTTCTTTTCTGTGAAGGAATTGAAAAACTAAATATTGGGATTATACACTGGAAAAAATCGCGCGCTTTAAAGGTTGTAAATTTGATGTAAATATTATGTAAGTGTCCAAAATGATGTAAATATCAAATTTAAGCATCAAATTTACATCAAATTTACATCATTTTGAACACTTACATAATATTTACATCAAATTTACAACCTTTTAAAGAGAACGATTTTTTCTAGTGATATTGGCGAACATGAAAAGTGTCGGGAATCTTCCAGCATTCTTTGATGTAGAAGCAGACACGTCATGCCTGTTGGATATACTTTGATTTCAATCAGTAGCTAGCTAAGAGTTGATTATGTTTATCAATATTAATTATTTGTTTTGTAGGTATACAATGGATCCATAAAACATCCATACACAAACCCTCGCGCCCCCGTTCACATTATAACAGGGTCAGCGGTAAGTTATAGATGCTCGCAAGTAGGTATTTGTCGCTATTTGTAATAATTAAAGTTCAGATATATGTAATCATCGATACGTATGTTTAATATCGTTTTCTGGGTATTTAATGATTTTTTTATTTCATCTCAGGGCTGTAAATACTGCCACGATAAATTCAAAAGGAAAAACGCAAAATGGACTGCGTTCCGTACGCTGGACTACGGATATACCAGAATGAAAGTCTACAACAAGACACATTTACACTTAGAACAAGTCAGCATCGACAAGGTACAGCGAATTCGCTAGATAGAGCTTATTTCTTTGCTATTAATCAATCCTTAGTAGAAAGAAAATAACAAACGACTCATTTTGACTTCCTCATTTTGGAGTCTGGTATTTTCATTTATTGGTTTTAGTGCGCATTAAACTGAAAAGATAAATTACAAAATATAYTTCACTTTGTGAGGTTTATAAAAGCCAATTATCACTGATAAATATAATTTTAATGATCTTAATACATCGTCCCATTTGAAGTGTAACTTCTAAACAATATRAAATTAAACGGAAGCATATCTAAAACGTTTATAAAACTAAATGAACATTACCCTTGTCCCAGAGGCGTGTTTTTGTCGCTATCTCTCGTCTCTATGTAAAAGAACAATGAAAGAAGAGAGAGAAACAGAGATGCCTCTGGATCCAGGGTATTGGGCCTTTTCTGAGATAGCAGTTTGCATTCAGTTTATGCTGCCAAATATGGCGTTGTTGGTACTGATGCTAGACCACAATGCACCATGATTTTGTATTTCAGAAAAGGTCTATTAAACACGTAAACTATAAAGTTTCGTTATTTTACGTTACCAGAATTACACTGTGGTGGACCAAGTCATGATCATTAAAAATCAACACGGCCCAGAAGCCTGGAAATGGAAACAACCAGAGCCACCCCCTCAAAGGCAAAAACGGCCAAAAGTAGAAAAATTAAGAACAAGTAAAAAATCACCATTCGATGAGCTCGCTGGTGCTAAAAATATTTTAAACGATTATATCAAGCAAATGAAGTCGTACAAAAGTGCATACTTATAGTTTTATGGGATAGTTTACATGTAATGCTGTTATTATTATTGTTCAAAGTGTTTATATTTCAATTCTCAGTTTTCTAAAAAAAAATACATGTTACTTTGTCTTAACTAAACGTAATAAGAATATGTCCTCTTATAGCAAACCTTCCTGCTTTTTCGGGCTTCCTGTYCCATATATAGCACAGGAAGCCCGATATATATTGGGATAGGCAGCAAACGAGACTATGAATATAAAACTATGTAAAACGTAACTGACTTAATTCTAAACTCTTAAATGAATTAAAACTTAGCTAAGTTTGAACGAGTATCTTGTTTGAATATATATTGTATGCTCTTWCTCATCCCTCGCTGTTAGAAGTACATTTATACAGCGTGAAAACAAGATCGACTCTGAGCCATGTGGGATGTGTTCAGAAATCATATGCGAGCATGCGTAACAAGAACATCATAAGAACATAAGAACGATCCTTAAATGCTATTAWATCTTCGAAATTTATTTTTTTAAAGTGCCCTTCGTTAAAATGGTCTTATAAAGACGTATTACTTATATTCTAAAATTTGTAAAATGTCCTTTTTTTGCTCAAGCTTAAGCCTCTATGTTATTTGAAATACAATATACTCCTAAGCTAGTTTTTGGACTAAGGGTTTCTGATATTGTCAAAATGCCTTTGATGCCAAACGCGCGGTTGTTGGCCTGGTACCGAGAGGTCATATTTACCTGCCAAGCAAAGTTGTTTTYCAAACYCGACGTTTTGTTTCTRTTTATCACCTGYCGTTACTGRTCTAAATACAACATGAAAACAAGATAACCAAAATGACATCCTTTACCATATTCTCTATACTTGCCTTATTTAAAATTATCTACATTAGCGTTGAAGGAGTGCCAGACTCAGTTTCCCCTCARCCAGARCAAATACATTTGTCTCGAACAGGTAAGAGAGAAATTAACACCTATATTTTATAATTTAAATGCTTTGCGATCCTTTGCTCCTGTAGTCTAGACTGATCGCTTCAAAATGTGAAGAGAGATTAGGTGTTTTGTGTGCAGGGTAGACATAACGGTGTTCACCCACTTCAAACAATGATTTTAGATACTCGAAGATTTATTGTTACGAATACACGTAGTCTGACCTGTCAGACTGTCATTACATAAGCTAAGTTATGAAAACCCGAATATTAAACTATTTGTGTCCAGTTAGAAATTCTTACACCATAAATTAAATAAAAAATCAATATTTGTACGATGATTCTCTTTTAGATGACCCATCAGAGATGGTTGTCACGTGGACTACGCTTTCTCCAGCCACCAATAGTTTYGTAGAGTTTGGATATAGAGCACAACCGCTGATCAATAGAGTCGTGGGMAACTCCACGCCGTTTAAGACGTGTGGATGGAAGAAGAGATACATYCATATACATCGAGCAACAATAACAGGACTATTACCTCTTACTTC